CGGAAGATTCAAGAACTTCCGAATTATTAAAAAAAAAAAATCTTTGGTCATTTCATTTCTTTTAAAATGTTGATTATTGTGTTCTATTTTTCTTTTAATTTTTTTTAATTCGCACACATTGAGTATAGAGAGACAATCGCCTCTCGGAAGAATCCCAAGTTATTGTTTTTTTTCTCTATTTCATTAGCTACAAAAAGGGTAATTAGAGTTATCTATTTTTTATTTTTTATATTTGGAGTTTTGATATGATATAGATCATGTCCATTATCTAATTTTGTAAAAAAAATATAATTATTAAAAGAGTAATTGTTTTAATTTTTATGAGATTCATCTTATTGGATTTAGATTCTATATTAATTTGATTTAAAGAAAATTATATCCGCTTTGGATTTATTTTGATATGGTTAAAAAAAATACTCTTTTCGTTTCACAATATTTGACGTTTTAGATAATTTTGTGTGTTTCTAAATAATTGTCATTTTAGGTTTTCTAGGTAAAATTTTAAAATAATTTCTAATTTTATCCTTAATAAAAAAACTAATAAATTCTAATAGATTATTAATGATAACATCAATCTTTGTGTTATTAAAAAGGTATATACGACTTTTTATTGTTTTTTAAAAAAATGTGAAAAAAAATTAAAACGTCAAAGAGTATTATGTTGTTCTATCATTGTGTTGTGGGTATTACCATTGTTTAATTTATAAGGAAAAAAAGCGGAAGAAAAATAAAATATGAATTTATACTCAGATTAACAAAATTAATAGCATAATCCTATTGTTTTAAAACTATATTATATATATATATATATAGAATTTGTAAACTTTGTACTTACTATGAAATGAAGAAACTAAAACTAGTCAATTATTTTTGGACCTAAACAAAATCACAAATACATATGCGCGTGCAGGATGAGGCATGTAACATACACCTATTTATATAAAATGTCTCAAAACCTCCTATTTCATCCCTTGTTTTCTAACGTTACATTCTATTCCATTAGAGATTATTTATCTTATCTTTAATTAACGCAAAAATATTAATAAGTTCGTCTGCTTTCTATTATTCTCGCCACGAAAATGAAATAAAAGAGAAAGCTGGTTACAGAGTCGTGAGTGATATTTGGCGCGTAGTGAACATTTATTCGATGTAACCCTCGAATCCGTGACTTCTAATTATAAAACTAATAATAAATATAAATATTAAAATAAAAGGAGGGGTAACGTTGTGGTCGCTACGTATGAAATCACTATCACATGCATGAATCTCTGCATGTGACCCCCCACCCCACTCTTCGTCCCCTTGTTCCCTAATCGCATAAATATCATTTTAGGGCACCATTCATTCATTTGTTTATTTATTTATTTTCAATTTTCTCGACGAAATTTACGGAATTCTTCGTCCATTTGTTTTAATTTATCAATTTTTTGTCTGGTCAACAGTCTACGTTTTGTAGAGAATGGTGAACATGATTTTTTTTTTTAAGAAAATAACATTTTTTTTATAAACATATTCAGTTATACATTCATAAATTTTTTAAACTGGTATTTGATATTATAGTTATTAAGGTGAATAAAATTCCAAAACCATAAACAGCTATTCTTGTTAAAACATATCAAAGTTATATAACTCGATTAGAGATTATTTATCTTACATATATCTTTGTTGAATCAGCACAAGATCCGTAATTGATACGATGCATTTTCATTTTTTCTGGCACAAAATGAGTATATTCGCGTTATCACTTTTACGAAAATTAAATGTAATGTAAAATTTAATTATTTCATATATATAGAGATTGTGCACCGGAGACCGAGGCAAAAGCTTTAATTATTATAAAATATTATTTCACTTTCCTTCGGACACGTAGTTTTCTGAGTTCTGAAAAATCTTTGTGTTGGTATCGGTTCTCGAGAAAAGGTTCATTTGCAAGGCCCCTAAATGCCATTTTATATTATTTCATTTATCGGATATAGACAAGGGGAAATTAACATAATCTAATATAAACTATTTTTTTAAATATTTTTTATTATACATGTTTTTATAGTTTCTAAATAATTATTAATAATAGAGAAAGAGATGAAGAATCATTGGATTTCTCATTATTCAACATGTAACATTACAATATTTATAGCAGAAACAAAATCATAAAATATCTTATTTAATAAATATAAATATCTAAAATATAGAAATAAAATCAAATCTAAATATTACGTAATCTTCTCAAATCTTCTTCATATCTCTTTATACGCCCCCTCAAACTCAAGGAGATGAGAAACAACTGTTTGAGGTTGAATTCTCCAGAAAATAACGGGATTTGACAATCGAACCTAGGAACCGGTGGATTGTTGGCGGATCTGAAAAAGTCCGGTGAAGCAGAAGCGTGGTGCACATGCACGGTATTGTGGTGTAGTGCGACAGCAATGTCGGCAGTGCAAAAGGCGCGATGGTTTAGCGGTTATGCTGGAAATAGAAAATAAATTGTGCAAATGCACACGGCTAAAGCCAAAAAAAGAAAAAAGAAAAAAAAAGAAGATGGCGCAAATGTGCGGATCGACGATCGGAGTATTCCAATCGAAGAGGTTAAAAGCCGGATTCAAAGGCTGATGTGGCACGGATGTGCGGCGCATATGCGCGAGTTGGGTTGCACGACAATGAGGTCGGCAGAAAAAAAAAGAGTAGCACATCGGCTAGGGTTGACAGTGATAAACACCGTCGTCGGAAAAAAATGGAAAAAAAAATGAATGGAAGACGATACTCAAGGTGATGATACTATTGAAGTTAGTATATCATCGTCATCTTCATCATCGTTTTCGGATTCAACGAACATCGTTGATATAAAAAAAAATATTTAGAACAAAAACCGAAGCTCTGATACCATAATAGAGAAAGAGATGAAGAATCATTGGATTTCTCATTATTCAACATGTAACATTACAATATTTATAGCAGAAACAAAATCATAAAATATCTTATTTAATAAATATAAATATCTAAAATATAGAAATAAAATCAAATCTAAATATTACGTAATCTTCTCAAATCTTCTTCATATCTCTTTATAATTAACTTTTAATGTACTAGTTTTGAGTTTTATTGATAAATCTGAATTAACCAATTTGATAGTTCAATCTATGAAATAAAGATGTAAAGTGTGTGTTTTTCTGCGAGTTCGAATATCAAGGAAAGAAACGTAATTCTATGACTTATTTTTTATTTTAGAATTAGTTTGAGTTTGAGTTTAGAATATTCCGTTTAAAAAAATTCATGAGAGAGTCGATGAATAGATATTATAATATTATACATTCATAAAATCTCTCCAAATCTTATCTCACAAATGCAAGTAAACGAATTGATTTTAAAAAGATATATGCATGGCAAATGATTTGACTTAGAAAAATAAAATAAAATCATTAGTATCCGTACTGTCATTACAACTCAATGATACCATGACTCACATGTCTCCTGCCCATTCCTGTGATTTGGGGGTTTCCTTGTTGCTAATCATAAATCATTTTTAGAAATATAATATCTTGATATTATCTAATCGATTTTGATTTGTTATATATTATTAATTGCAAGTTTTTTGAAACAAAAAAGGGGTTTTGTGACACCACTTGTATGTATGTAATACATACAAAATATAAAGATAATTTTGTAAACTATATGACTCGTTTTACAAAGGCAGTCAATAGGAACACAGAGCAAGAACGTGGTGCATTTTTTTTAAAAAAATATTTCAAATTTAGTTCATATGTGTCGTGACAATTTACCTTTTTTTTTGTGTTAATAATAAAAATAAGAGAAAGAATGACATGAAATCAGAAATTAAAATTTTATAAGAATGATTAAAATTAACGAATCGATGGGAAACCATTTAAATACTAATTATGCGTATCTCAACGCCCCAAAAATTACAACTAGAATCAATAATCCAAACTTGAGAAATATATATATTTAAATTTAAAATGTCATTGGGCCTTCCCTCATTCATTCATTATTATAATTTAGAAAAAGGTATAGAATATTTAATGAAAAGGTGGGAATAACATTAACAAGTAACAATTTACAATAAATGTTTTAAAAAAAATGTATATTGCTAATTACGTTTTTAGGTAAAAACAAATTAACGACCAAGTTGGGCCAACCCATTCAAGTCGAACTAACTTAAAGCCCATTATTATTACAATATATAATAGCCTATTTCCCAACCCTCCTTTGTCATTGATTCCCATTATATGTGCGACCATTTCTGACACGAAGCAATACATTTTCTTATTTTAAAAAAAAAATCAATTTAAAATTAAATGAGCATTATTCTTTTTAAAACTAAAATTAACAAATTTAGAAAATTAAAAATAATTTAAAATAAATATAACAAACGCATTATGCCAACAATTTAGAATCTTATCAGTGATTTCAAACTTTATTAAACCCTGTATTAAATTTTTTATAACAAATTCAGTTAGAACTACAATCGTTTCTTCAAATTCTTTTTATTAAACTCTCATTTTTAATTTCAAATATAAAATATTTTATTCGACAATTTTACATTATTATTTATCATTCAAAACTTTGTCATCCGTTATTTTAAATTTTTATACCAAATAAGTTAAACCTATTAATTTAATGAACTTTAAATACTTTATTCTAATACAAAATTATTAGCCATAACAAACTTTATTGAACTCAAGTTTGAAGTGGCTAATCATGTTTTAATTACAATAAAAAACGCTACATGATTTTCTTAATCTAGACTGACTCTCGTAACTTTTCATATGTAAACACATAAATCATGCAGCATTTGAAATAACCATAACAAAACAATAAAATATGACATTCAGTTACTATTATATGGATTTTTTAATTAAAAATTATATAAGATTCTAATAATGCTTAGTGGTTTTCATCTTATTAATCCCAACGAATCTCTCCTGTACTTCTTGGCTTTCATATTGTTGCCATTTTATTTATTTTTTTACCTATATGATAGGAATATAAAGTAAAATTCAAACATATATATATATTATTATCAGATATACCTTTAGTTTCTGTGGATTAGACATGAAAACCAGATTTTTTTATAATATGGGTTTTATTTTTATTAGCCATACGGAACTTGAAAAATGCAAATTCGAGTTTTAAAATGTTAGTCCATAAATCTACAAGAAAACAAAAAGTTATACATTTAGCCAACAAAAAAAAAAAATTACATTTAGTCAAGAAGATTTTCTTTCAGTACCTAACATTTCTTCCTTTACGAATCATCCATCTTTTCCTCATTGCAGCCATGAATTATTCTCGTTCCTCGATCCAATAACCTGCGACGGCTGATCCGAACCTCCTCCGCCTCCGTCGCCGTCATCCTCCGCCGTGAAAAAACCGCCGGGAACCGCCGCGCTCACTCCTCCGATAACGCCCACAACGTCAGAGTTCACGTTGCTCAGGGAGAACATGTACGGGCTAGGTTGCGACGGCGGCGGCGCGTGACTGGCTTGCTGCTGAAACATGTACTGCCATGACGGTGGCGCGTGGGAACCACCGCTGACGCAGGCGTCGGCACCGGCGCCGAGAGCCGGGTTCGACGACGGCGGAGTGAGAGTGAAACCCGAACCCGACCCGAAATTCATGGCGCTGGGACCGCCGGTGTATTGCTGAACCATGGCTCTGAAGTTGGAGGTGTCGGTGTTGAGACGCGTGGTCGGTGCCCGGCGAGAGGCCCTCGATCTCCGCCGCGCGGGCCTCGAGACCCGACCCGTTTCCGGCGGACTCGGGAGGGAATCTCCGGCGGAGGAGGCGGTGGTGGTGAAGAAGCTTTGGTTGTTGCCGAACTGAGACCAGTCGTTGGGATTAGCCATCGCTTTGCTTTTGCATGAGACAAAACACAGACAGCATAGACATGGCGGCTACACAGCATTTATTTATGAACCTTTTTCTATTTTTCATTTTTTTAATTGACGAGACCCAATCAAAGGAAGACTGTTAGAATAAATCACGGCCGTTGATTTCGGCACGTGTCTTGGCACGTGGATTCTATGGCTGCTTTTGGGGGGCCGGGGGAGCCATCTAGTTGACGAATTGGCCACGTCATTGTGTCCGCCTACTATGCCGATTCTTTCATAAATAGTTAATAAGTCCCTTAACTTATATTCTATTTATGCATTGACCGCAAATATTTAGACAACGTTCTCTCAGTGCCCTTTTTCCCCTATGTTATAAGAACGCCCCTAATATCCTCCAGAATTCTAGAAATTAGCGTCTCCCGACAATTTTATATCTCTAATAAATTATTATTAGAGCGGACATGAAACGAATTTGTACTAATCAATCAAGGAGGAAATATCCCAAATAATTTGGGCAAAGATAGAATTTCGAAAATGTGGAGGTTAAAGTGAGAAATCGATAAGTTTTGGGCATTCGAATGTGTTTAGTATTTATTGATGGTCGTGCAAAACATGCGAGATAATAATGATGACACTATATATAAAATACCATATGTTGTTGAAATGTAATATAAATAATTAAATATAGCCAAAAATAGAATGTAATATACCAGTAAAATAATTAATTGGCGTTAAATTTGTGCAGAAAAAGTTTTGGTTCTTGGATGTTTAGGATTCGGTTAGTTTTTTTATTTATATTATTTTTAGTTTAAATATTCTAGTTAAAAATTTGTACCTATTTGATTCTTATATTAAATTTTAGTTGGTTTGACTTTACATTGAAATTTTGCTGGAATTTTAAACAAAATTTTGAGATTTGATGTTGAATGAAAATCAACACTGCATAAAACTTGGGCATTAGATGTGAATCGTAATTTATTTACCAATATTTCCATTATTTCACCAAATAATTTCAATTGTTTTGCAAATCATCTCGTATATATATATATATATATATATATATAGAGAGAGAGAGAGAGAGAGAGAGAGAGAGAGAGTAAACAACAAAATTGTAATTCACCGGTATAATATAATGGCAATTGATTATATAATAAAAATTACCACTACGCCATTAAATATCAACAAGGTTATAAATTAATTTAAAGGGGTTAGGCGTTCTCGGAAAATAAAAGAATAATATCATCAAAGATTGGTGAAATTGGTTAGGCAACAACACAGAAATTCTCATATGGCCTTCGTCGAGACGACCTTGACGGTCCAAACACACCATTTGTGCGTATATGTAATACCGAACCAAAATTGAACCAATTAAATTTATATAACTCATTCGATTTTGTTTTTTTAGAACCGAATAAACCAAACCCAAACTGAACCGAATAAAAAAAAACCTAAAATAATCGAACCGAAAATCGAAATGATTACCCAAATTATATATTTTGGAATTGAATAAAAGACCATATATGTAGATATATATGACGCCGTCACGCCAGTACACGAGGCTGGCGTTACCAATTCACAGTTAACTGGTTAACGTTAGTGAAAATATAAGAATTTCAATAAACCTAATTCCAAATATAGAGAATTTAATACAAGAAATATTAATGTGTATAATTAAATAACAGTAAATATTAAAAAGACAAAAAGATATTACAAGTAGAACATCCTCTGCGACAGTCTTCTTCCCTCCTACTCTCTCTCTTATCAGCAAAATCCAAACAGGTTGGGATCTGCATGTGAACATGAAGAACTACTACAGACACAAACAATCTTTACAAGTGACCATTTTCTAGGGTTTTTTTTTTAAAAAAAAACTAAACAAATATCCTATTCATATTACTCCCAATCTCAAAATGATTCTAAATAAGGAAATGATTCTAAACCTCCTCTTTCAGGCTTCTGCTGAATCTGAAAAAAACATGAAGAAACTTTTCTACACTCTGTTCATTGCGATCTTCTCTTCCGCTTCGCGTTTGGTTTCACGGGTGTCTGGACGCATCCTCGTGCAGCTGGGCAGTCCTGACACTCGGGTCATCCTGTCGTGCAAAAAAAAAAAAGAGCGTTTTCGTGTGAAGAGTTTGGGGTGATTCTCAGAAACCTGTTTGGTTACTGAGAAAAGCACACAGAAACAGAGAAAACAGAGGAGAAACGAGAGAGGGAAAGTGATGATAGAGATTTGAGAAAATTTTCTGGTATACTGTTTACTTAAACGCGCATCTTTTTTATACAAATCTGTTATATCTAGCTAATTTTGTGAAGAGTTTCAAGTGATGCTCAGAACCTGTTTGGTTCCTGAGAAAATCGCAGAGAAACAGAAAGAAAACAGAGCAAAACAGAGAAGACATTCGACCAACAAGACAGAAAGTAACCAGAGATTTGTTAAAATGTTCTGATATTCTGATTACTTGAAGCACATGTTGTTTATATACAAAAACAAATCCATTACATCTAGCTAATCTTCTAACAACCTCAAACAACTCAGGAGTCGTGGTTTGGTTATAATGTTATTAGTTATGGTGGTTGAAAGTGAAGAGTTTTACCCGAATGTCGTAAGTAAAAGCATTAGGCCGACCGAAGAAATCCAAGCCTCCCTGCAAGGAAACAAGACCGATGAGAATGTCAGGTTCTGAACAATGTCGGAACAGACTTTGACAGTTTCTCCCACAGCAAATAACTACGTACCATCTCAGGTATTCCTTGCTGAGCACCGTAGTAACTGCCATGGTTAGGGGCTATCGAGTTTAACTGCCCCTACAAAGTAACACCAACCAGAAAGATCTTTTTCACCAAAGTTCACGAGATGAAAAAAAAAACAGCGGAAACTGGTAAGAGGTGGGTGTATTTTCGTACTAATCCTTGAATCGTTTGTTGATTCCCGTAGAAATTCTCCCGAGTTGGCGCCATTAAGTTCAGCTGGACCTGTAAAACACACATTCGGAGCGGATTACATGAAATAATATCATATATAAGTTCTCTAAATGATGATAAGTTAGCTAGTATTTTTTTTTTGTCAATAGATCTTAAGATGCATGCCATGGACGTTGCTAGACGTACCATTCCGTGCATACTGGGCTGTGCACCGTAATAATTCTCGATCCCGACTGTTCTCGGACTTAACTTATCCTGCAGTTATAAGATTAGGGTATCAAACACTAATCAGCACGCTTTTGACAGAATATTAGCAAGATTAGGGTATCAGACCATCTGTTGCATGCTTTCAGGCGCTCCAACTGGTATAACCTCCTGCTCTGAATTGACCTGCACATTACAGTTGCAAGCATCACACGTAGAAGATTAGAAAAACCCTAAGCTCTGATGAGAGCAAAGATAGATAGCCATGGAGACGTTACTTTTCTTTTCTTTGTCGGGTTCTTTTTCTTGCTTGACTTTCCCGTGTTTCTGCTCTGGTTATCCTCCTCGACCGAGATCAGACCTTGAGTTGGGGACATGACCATATCCTGAGGGCTTTTGCTGGTGGTATTAACACCAGCACAAGTTTCCAAAGCTTCTTCAATGGCACGGAATGCAATGTTGTAACTCTCCTGAGAAGAGGATGCCTCCTCGCTCAGTTTCAATGCTCCTCGGCACAGATGGTTATATCGTTGCAGCCTCGTCTGTAATTGTAAGTGTTCGGGTTGTCCAGCAAAATGTCGGGTTTTTGCATCTTTTGTCCACCGTTTCAGTATATACTGAGACGGGATGGAAGAGAGGTGGCAACACTGGAGAACGTTAAGGGCATGTCTACAGAGATAACCTTTGTACTCAAATAACCGACAGAGGCAGGAAACTTCAGATTTTGTCTGGTTCCATGTAACCACGAAGTCCTGGTTCTTTTCGAAATCCTGAACCCTAAAATTGAAGCAAGTTCCATCCCGGCTCTCCTCTCTGGGACTACATGCAATGGCACCCAAAACTTCAACCTGGAATCTTTTGAATACTGCAGGAGTATAGAGTTCAGAAACACTTTTCTCAAATGGTGATGGAGACTTCATAGTCGGCTGCTTGTTCCAGGTATCCGAATCAGCTTTGGCTTCCTCTTCATACCTATCTTGCAGAATCGAATCATACAGTTTCACAAATTCTTGCATGCTTGTCTTTTTATGCATGTACTTGTCGAAGAAGGCGTTAATACTATCAGCTCTTTGAGAAGTCGACATCCCTGCCAAAAGAACATCAGTCATGTAGGCTGGCACCCATTTCCTTCTGTCTTCGTATAGTAACTGCATCCATTGATCCTCTTTGAGACCAAACCTGTCAAGGATCTTCCACCATCTTCTTGAAAAGTCTTCATCTCTCCAGGATTTATAGATGCACTTTTCAAACTTTGGTGTAAAATTATCATGTTGCTTGATAACGTGACCGAGATTCTCAGAGACCTTTACTAGTACATGCCAAAGGAAGATGCAATGATGAGAATTGGGGAAGATCTCTGGAACAACAGAGTTCATAACGCTGTCCTGCTCGGTGATTATAACCTTTGGAGCTTGCCCACCCATTGCTTTGAGCCAAGTCTGCATTATCCAGGAAAATGTTGCCTCACTCTCATCAGAAATAACAGCACACCCGAGTAACATGTACTGGTAATGTTGATTTACTCCAACAAAAATGGCAAGTGGCATCCTGTACTTGTTTTTTAGATAAGTGGTGTCTAGAGAAACAACATCACAAAAACTACCATAATCATGTCTGCTTTTTGCATCCACCCAAAATACATTCTTCAGTCTCTGATCGTCACCAAGATCAACAGCATAAAAGAAGTTGGAATTCATACTTTGCATCCTTGTTAAGAGATCAAGCAGGATCTTGATATCCTCAGTTTCCACTGCCAAGTTCCGGCCTTTCTCAAACGAGCTTTTAGTATTGTTTTTGAGACTAATAACAGTCTTGTATTCAGCAAACTGTCTAGCCATTGCCGCATATATCCTTCTAGTCTGTTCACTCACAGCCTGTGCAGGTAAAAGCTCGTGATTATGCTCCCTCACAAAACTATGAATAATCCACTTCCCATCCGGCCTTCTCTTCACATGCATGCTTGCTTTGCAATCTGTTTTCCCGCATGCCCGTCGACCACCCATATTTTCCGGGTCTTGCTTGTTTTGCCTAGCACGAGGTTTGTTGAAGGACTTGTCATATTCTCGTTTGGTACCGTACCTAGAGCACGCGAATTTCGCATCAATAAACTCTCTTGTTGTTTTTGAGCGACGACTGTTCTGTATTGCAGTGTTGAAACCCGTTGCCCGTGCATATTCCTGATAGAACGAATATGCTTCGCCATGAGACTCGAATTCCATACCGTTGAGAGGTTCGAGATTCATGCCCTCTCTGCACTCAGCCAACTCTGCCATTGGGACACTCATTCCTGCACTATCATCAGCTTGTACCTCAACTGTCACATGCTCAATTTTGCCAATTTCAATATCTCCATTGTGCAATTTGTGTTCATCCTCCAACACATCATCAATACCTCTCTCCTCACCATCTTCCTTGCTCTGGTCACCTGAAGGTAGCCGAAGATTCATATCCATGGCGCTGAGTTTTCTTCTACCATAAGCAAGCACACTTCCTGCAACACTGAAGGTTTGCAACAAAATGCAGAGCGCAAGTACGTATTCAGGACAAAATATAAATCTGCAAAGATTAACTACAACAGATATCAATCAGAGAAATTCATCCATTTCCGCCTTCTAATTCCTGCAAGACTTTCAAAGGAACGGGCAAAGTGAGCAAAGGGTCATATACAGCTTTTACCCCCCAAAAGGAACAGAATGGTTTCTGGGCCTTGAGAGCTCTCAGGGAATTCCGACATGACAGGCAAATTGAAGAGCACGAGTAGATGCATTTGTTCATTGCAGAGCAACAACGTATTTGTCGCAAAATTAACGTCCAGAACCCAAATTCTATATGACAGACACAGGAAAACAAGCTTATCGAACACAACACTATGTTGGCCAGCAAATTTTGTTCTCGAGAAAAAAAAAATGAGAAATCTGATACAGACTGAAAATCAGCTTGGAAGAACACATAAATTCGGCAAGAACACGAGCCGGGACGGAGAGAAATAAGCAGATTCTGAGAAAGCACCTTTCTTTCCCCACCGTGAGGAGCAAAGACGACGGCGAACACCGCGGCGATTGAGAGCCACGCGCCGGTGACCGCGAGTTGAGGTTCGATCTACGAGAGAGAGCGAGAAATTGGGAAGATCGTGTTTGTTCCTCACGCGATGTGTCGGGGCGAGTGGGCGAAGATCCGAAGTTCCTCTTTGGTTAGGGTTTCGAAGCACACCGTGTGGATATTTTCTACAGCTTAAAAATTAAAAACATATAAAAATAAGAAATAAAAAGGCCTCGTATAATGTCGGGTTCTTTAGTTTCCCCACTCACGCATGCGTCGCGCGTGCCGACAACTGTCCCTAGGGACCGAGGGGTTAAACCGTAATTTAGGGTTATATTCAAATTTCATTATTTTTAAGAAAAAACTATAATCAGTCAATTTAAATTGAATTCGATTCAATTAGGCATAGGTTCCACACACTTTATATTAATAAATCGACTTTTTTTTTTTTTAATTCCGGTCTTTGTTCACAGCTCCATTTTCCAGTGTTGATGGCTTCAGTGTTCCCCAAAGCAAATGGGAAGACATTACTTGTAAGTCACGTTAACTTCCACCACCATTCACCATTTCTTCTTTGTAGTATCATCATCTTTCACCATTAGCTTTGATCAAAATGGAAAGAAGTACCCTCTCCCGCATGCGGGGAAAACCGTCTGTGCAAGCTTATATTTATACATACATACATACATACATACATACATATATATGTGTGTGTGTATTCTTTACAAGTCTTGTGGTCTAACTGACAACCTCGGGGGGTTATGTTAAGTCCTCATAAAATGAGATCCCAACATCTTGGAGCTAAGACTTGAACCACCTCTTAGCATTTTCAGACAAGAAAACAGAAAAGGGCATCTGTCAAATAACTTCAAAAATCAAAGATCTAATGAAATTATGCCTTTTTTTTTTGCAGTCATGGTCTAACACTCCTAGTCGCATGAGTAAGAAGAATCCAGTCACTATTTTCAGCGAGAAACTATTCTAATCGACCTACAAGGATGAGAACATTTATAAAACATACCATCCAATGATGACAAGCTCCCTCTCTGCAAGGTTAGGAGGAGACTTCGCGTGAAGGCCTACCTTCCCTTAGATGTCAGTGTAAACCTTCTCTGAGATGTTTGTGTAAAAACCTTCTTCCTCTCTCACTTCCTTTTCCTCCTTGAAAATCTCAGCATCATCAAAACCTGTACACATTTGCACTCTTCTTTAATCTCAAAAATTCTACTTCAGCTTTGTAAGTACACCAAAAAAACGGTTTTTTTTTTCTGTAATACCTGTGCCCAAGTCTTCAGCTTCATCAACAATGGGAACTTGAGTTCTCTTACCCAACTCGAGTGACTTCCAGTCCGAGCTTCCATTTATTTGTATACAAGCTTGGTTTTTGGAGACCCAGTCTTCAAGAACATCCATGTTGCTCCGTGACAATGGGTCTATTACCGAGTCATCTCTGCTTTCGTAATACCTGGAATGAGAGACCGTTGAATCATATAGGCTCACGTTTTATCCCGGAAACAAGTATGGAGTTTTGTCTGAAATGGGCGCTTTTCAAACTTACCGCCTTCTGAGACGCATGTTGTATTGGACAAACACGATATCCCTGAGCCGTTGTTGCTCAAGGCAGTTCTTTGATTGGTAAATTTGCTCTATCGGTATCAGGTTTCTCCTGCACTCAACCAATGAACTGCAAGTCTGACTGAGAATACGTATGGCAAAACGGGAGAGATTCAAGCAGCTTTCTCCGTATGTAGACCACCATTCAGCTGTGAAGAGTGTGTTCAATTAGCAAAATGATGTAAAAATTCCAATGGACAGACAATTCGGGTATAAGAATATGAACTATGAAGATGCATCTTTTATTCCTAGGGACACACAAAGTAATGGCAGCTGAGTTTGACAGAATCTATTAATCAGAATGTGACGAGAAAACGTGGAGAGAACAAAACGGGCATACCAGGAAGCATCGTGTCCCGAGCTCTAATTGCCAAGTTCCTTCCAAAAACTCCAACAGCATTCTTGTACGAATTTCTCTCCTTGATGATTTTATCTTGGATGGTGACATCAGGGACCAACCTCTCTATGCAATCAAAGACTGCTGAAAGGATCTCACTGCGCATTTCTTCATCGGTGTTATAGAAGAATTTGGGGTTAAGAAAGAAACCGGCGGCATGCAAAGGAATAAGCCTTTGTTGCTCCCACCTACTATCTATAATTTTCCAGTAAACTATGTAATCCTCTCTCTCAACAAACAGTTTCTTAATTGCCTCCTTCGCCCGGTAGAGTGCTGCATAGACATAACCCATTGCAGGCCTCTTTTCAGAACAAGCTATTCTCAGAACTCGTAAAAGAGGATATGTTAGATGTGTTAATAGCGTAAGTGCCTTCCAGAATGCCTCATCACTGATAGTATCTGTCATTGCCAATCCACCTGCTTCCTTCGAATATGAACAATCATTCCACTCTGGTGAAGAAACCATAGCCTGCAAATTCGGTTTAAAATCGGCTATTCTTCCCAAAGTCGTAAAATTTGTGGCAGAACAGCTAAATGCTGGTTGCACAATATCATTGCCAGAAGTAAACCTCCACATCAGATTCAAAACACCACTATGATTGTAAATAAATCTTGTAACAGCTCGAGCCTGTTCGATTCTTTCACTTATCCACTCAACCTTTCCAAAATCCTCGAGCACCATATCCATGCAATGAGCAGCACAAGGAACCCAATAAAGAGAAGGGTATGCATCCATCAACAGTTTCCCGGCAGCAATATAATGATCTTCACATTTTGTAATCACTTGAACGACATGGGTTTCCCCAATTTCTTCTACTACCTCCTTAAATAGCTCATACAATTTATCAACAGAAGATATTATCTCAGATGCATCCACAGACTTCAGAAACACTACTTTTTCTGGGCAGTAAACAAAAAAGTTAAGGATTTTTAGACCTTCGCCAGAGTCCAATTGCTCAACCAAAATGGAGCATCCCGTCCTCTTCCACAACAATCTGCTTTCATCAATTTCCTTCTTCGTTTCCTCTACGCAGTTCTTCAATATCCAACCTCGGAGATCATTATGTGTGGGGATAGAAACCCCAAATCCTCCGGAAACAAAGGCATCAATCATCGGTTGGAAATGAACAGAATTCACTGCATCAAAATCGGCTCCAATATCAAACAGAAACCGTCCAATTGCCATATGAATCGTTTTCTCCCTGTCTTTGGAAGATGGTTGTACAATGTTTTTCACACTACTGATAGCCACGGGAATTAGATTGTCCATGTCTCGAGCAATCAGGTCACTGATGTTAGCCACAGCCCCATCCGCATTTGCGGAAGCACTTTTGTCAAAAGAATTCTTCCTACTCCTGTAAGTTCTCTGCTTTGTTCTGCTAACTGACAGGCTCGGGTTCGGTGCAACAACATCTGAACCTGGAGATCTGAATCCAGTATTCACATCAGAATGAACAACAGAAGCATCTACTTCAGAAGGAGGGAGATAAGCTATAGGATGTGGCTCTAGACTTGATCTGTGCCTCTTCCTCTGTCGCCTTACGGTCCCATCCAAACACTGCTGCAAGAATTGGCGAACATCTTCTGGAACTTGGTCACAAATGGTACCTTGACCCTTTTTACCTGCAAGGTGTTCCTTAACCCGGGTTATCCCACCGCCTTTAAACATTTTCCGACAGTAGAGACACCTCATCTGTACTCTATCCCCATACTTATAGACTTCACAATGCTTCCATGCGATGTCTTGTTTCTGAGGCGTGAGAGCTACCGGCTCCAAATCCATTTCCATCTCCTCCTCCTCCTCCCAGAACCCAATTCTTCTTTTTCTGTAGTAGTAAATGAAACCCAGAAAGATTTCAATTTCAGAGCAGAGAGCCTAACACCATCTGAGCACCAAAAGCCAGCCATAACAAATACAGACAGGAGAGAACCAAGGAAATGCATTGCTGATTCAAACATTTTGTAGAAAGGGAAAG